AATGTCACCATCTGGTCAGCCGTCTTATTGATATAGTCACCTTTGTTGGTTACTATAGAGACATTTGATGAGCTGGCGACACAATAATCATCATCGTGTGCCTCAAGTTTTATTGCATTTGTCGAAACCACATGAGATGCCTTTTCATTGCGTCGCAAATCTGAGGAAACAGTATCAGCAGAAGATTTCTGTGGTGTCTTTGTGACTGGAATCTCAGTATTGTTTATCGCAATATTCTCTGCTGTCGTTGAGATGTTTGAACTGAATGAGTCAACAGTGATCTTCCTTTCTTCCGTCTTTTCTTTCCGTGCATTTTCTTGAACATCTTCGTAAAAACATCTGTCATTGTTCACAGAGACATTTGTCCCCATCTCCGTTTCAGTTGAAATTTGGACAGGTTCACATCCTCCAACTTCGATATTTGTTGTGCTGATTGCTAGTGGTTTCACCTCCAATGAAAATCCTCTACTAGTTGGAAGAAATGCCACTTCGTTTGAAATGTTTGAGATTCTTGCTTGACAAACATCACTGGATATGTTTTCCTCTTCCTTCGGTGCTAGATAACCAGGGGAAACATCGACAGCCAAACAACTTTCATTGCCTTGAATGTTTGCTGATGTTCGTACAACAAGTGGAAACTTCAATTGTTGCGTTCTGGGTAGTTCGTTGGTTATAATGTTGAGAGATAAACTTTTCTCTGCGTCCATTGTGGCAAATAGTGGGCACACATGTGCTTTGGGCTCAAATGGAGCTAGAGGATCTTGTTTAACGTCACTTGAACAAACTTCTGAAATCAATTTTTGCTGGTTTAGATTTGCATAAACATCTTCATCTGCCTCTAGCCTGACTGAACAAACGGCACATTCAACAGACATACATTTGAAATTTTCCATCAAAACAGTAGCCGAGGTTGACCCATTGGAATCTTCTACAGTCTTGACTGATGAGCCCAATACTAACTCATTCTCTTTTTGAAAGCTCCCTATCGTACCACTTTTCTCTCTGTTAGTTTTTATCTTGTATATTTCACTCTTGAATTTCTCTTTTGTTACACTTGGCGTTGATATTTCACTACATTCGTTCTTTCTCGGAACGATAGGTCTTATTACTACTAGGTTCTCTAGAACCAAAAGCGGTAGTGGTATCGAACGGTAAGCTGGCACAGACGTTACTCTTTCTTTTTCTTTGCCCAGCGAGAATCTTTCATTTTGCATCTTGCTATTCTCAGAAACCATTTCTTTTACAGGTTTGGCGTCATTGGCACAAGGACTTCCTATAAAAGTAATCCACTTTATAGTAAATTTTAAAGATAGCAAAATGTATACTCTTTAAAATGGCAGAAGAAGTAACCTTCGTATGCAATGTACAGTTTATGCGAATGCACTGAAGAGAAATTCTTGGTCTAAGCAAGTTTGTAAATAGGTTTTCCTTACAAACACTAATTTCTACGCCAGGAATTGAAGATGATGAAATAAATTGAAATATGGTTGCCAAAGAGTATTTTGACAAAATGAATGGCGAAACAATGTGGTAATTTGGCTTGTGGTGCACAAAATAATCGATTTCCTATTCAAGGTGATAATTAACCATGTTTTTGCCAGTTTCCTTGCAAATAAAACTTGAAAATCATTAATTGCCCTAATATTTAGAACTCTGTTCATATGTTTTTGTTTTTCTTTGACAGCATTAGTATTTAGTGTAAACGGCTCTATCTTTGTTCTTTCTCCGCTGTCAGAAAAAGCCAACAGTTCCGGCAGTCTAGCCCTAACGTTTGTTCTATCATTTTCCGATTTCAATATTGAATGATTACCTTTGTCTTTTCCCATTGCTGTCATTGAGGCTTGTGTGATGGAAAAAGGTGGAATGCTTAATGAATTTTCTTCCTGCTTTTTGTCATTTTTTGGTTCTCTCTGTGTTTTGTCCTCTTCGTGTTCCCCTGGCACTTCAAACGCTCTGAAGTCAAAGACGAATCGCACAAGATTGATTTCTTTGGATGCACTACGGAGCTGCCTCGTAGATACTTGCTTTGCGTTGATGTGCTCTCTAACCACGTGTTTAAGTCCCTCAATTGCCTTTTGAGCCTTTGCAGCAGCCCTACCAAGTTTGGACAAAGTACTTTTCTTCATTCGGTAAATTTTGTCTCTTGCTGCCTCCAGATAATGAATGATGTCTTTGCTCTCGCGAAACCATATTGGATCAATCTCTTTTCCGTTATTCGTGTCTCTATTGCCCATAGAATGTCTCATCTTATTGTTTACTTCTTTACCTAAAATAGCAAATAAATGAAAATGTATGCGAGCACCACAACAACAGAGTACAAAAGCATCCTAAAATCCTTTCTTTGTGAGGTCTCTTTTGAAGCATTTTCGTTTATGATTAATTTGTTCTAGAAAAGTCGGTATCACCTTAAATTTGTTAATCTGGGAGATTGGAAAAGAGAAATTTTCTTTATGTATAGTGCAAAAGAAATAAAGAAACACAATGTTTACATGTTTTATTGCCAGCAAAGATATCTGTAATTTTCCTTGGCGATTGTTAGAGAAAAAGGAGGCTACAGCAGGGATCCATAGCATTTTTAAGAATGAACTCAGGAGTGGCATTGAGCTCTTGTCTCAGACATGCAAAACACTGCTACTGCGATTTGGCAACTTAAAGGCTTTCCTGAAAATCCCTGAAAACATTCAGGCATATATTTTTTAAACTTCAACATTTAAATTACTACCTTAATTTTGCACGATATTCAATTTTAAAGAAAAAAATTTTCTTTTTTTGCTATAAAGTGTTTAAGAACTGAAGACTAATGGCAAATTTTAACCTTGTTATTGCAGATTCAGAAGCCTGTTCTGATATAATTTACCTTGGTTTTGCCTCCCTTCAACACCGTTAGGCTTTTGTGTCACCAAACTGCCTGTTGTTTTCTCGCCATGGATACAAGAATTGAGAACAGTTGTCACTTTCGTTTGTGCTTTTGTCTTTTTAAACGTCATTTTCAATTTTGAACAACCGCCCTGGTCTTTTCCTATTCTTTTCATTGAAGCTTGTGTGTGTGTGTTAGGAATGCTGAATGACTTTTCTTGGTGTTTCTTGTCATTTTTTGCTTCTTCCTTGTTTTCGTCCTCTTCGTATTCGCCTGGCACTTCATATG